GACTAGGCTTCGCTCTCGACTTTCTCTCTATGTCCCCAAGGTTCTTTATTCACTGCCCCGTCTCAAAAAACGGAACAAGAAGATCCCACTTGGAAGCTGCAATCCAACACCCCTCCCTCATGCAAGAAGCCGGGCACTTGGGGCACTGGGCGGGATGGCATCTTCTATCTCTGTCAGCAGAACATTTCTGGGGAACATCCAATGTACAGGCGGACTGGCTCAGCCGAGCAGCAGTCAACCCCCGCAGAATGGCGCCTGCACCCCGAGCTGTTCAGGACACTGTCCGAAAGGTTTGGCTCTCCAACCCGGCACCTGTTCGCCCCCCCGCCAGACAGCCAGCTACCCAAGTTCTACGCCCGGTTCGCCACACCGGGGGCGGAAGAGGTCAACGCTCTCCACATTCCATGGCCCCTGCGGGCTGCTCTACGCCTTTCCTCCCCTTCCCCTCATCCGAGGGGTAATTGGGAAAGTGCTGGCGGAGAGAGTGGAGAGCCTACTCTTGTCTCCTCACTGGCCCAGAAGGCCATGGCTTACCCATCTAGTCAACTTAATCAGTGTCCAGATCCTGGAGGATCCTGCCAGACAAACGGAGATGAGCACCGCCCCCTAGAGTCGGGAACGACTAGCACATACGTGCGAGGGGAACCTTTTACCTTTTTTAATCCCATGTACTTCCTTTTCCTGTCTCTCTCTCTCTCTCTCTCTCTCTCTCTCTCTCTCTCTCTCTCTCTCTCTCTCTCTCTCCCCCCCCTCCCCTTTTTGAACTGCCTGGGCATGTCTTTGAATGCGAGTCAACTTATTTTTTTCCTTCCTTGCCAAAAGACCAGGTGTGGTCCCTAGTGAAAAGCTGCACGTGGGAGATGGACTTTTGCTCTGCTGAAGCGACACATTTGGGTGATCACGAGCGTGATCAGAGGAAGGATCATTCGAAAGGAGATGCCCCCCTCCTCTCTTCGTCAACATCTCCAAAAAAACCCCATCCCTACAAAGGTTACGGGCCCAGGCTTAGTTTCTGGTACTCAGATAGAACTGTTTTTGATTCAGCAGGGGGTTGGGCTAAATGACCTCCAGGGTCCCTTCCAACTCTGTTACTGGATTGTCCTGAGTTGGATGTCGGTAGGGATTCTCTAAAGGGAAAGGAAGAGGAGAGGAAAGGAGTGGAAAGGTGTACATAGAATAGAATAGAATAGAATAGAATAGAATAGAATAGAATAGAATAGAATAGAATAGAATTACAAAAAAATTTACAAAAAATAAAAAAAATTACAAAAATAAAAAAATAGAAAAAAAATAAATAAAAAATAGAAAAATAGAAAAAAAATTTTTTTTTTTTGGCCAAGTGTGATTGGACGCACAAGGACTTGGTTTTGCTGCATGCGCTCTCAGTGTACATCAAATTCTCTTGTCTGACGGATGTTGTTAACAAGGGTCCTAGTTTCTAATGATCAGAAAGAGAAAGGTACCCAAAGAGCTGTCAGAGACTTATTGTTGCTTATCCAGAGGACGTGAACAATCACTCTTGTCTACAGAGCTTCAGCAGGTCCATTCTTATGTTTAAAACAACCAAGAAAACATATTTCGCTCACGTGGGGCAACACAATTGCAAGAAGACAAACTAGAGAGCGCCTTTCCAAATGTTGAAATTGCGTTAAGAATTTTTTTTGTGTGTGTGTTAACATTAATGCTCACCAACTGCACAGCAGAGAGGTCTTTCCCACAACTGAAATGTGAGAAAACCCAGAGAGATCAGTTGTGGTTCCAGAAAGACTCGCCTCGCTGTGTGTATTAAACATTTGAAAGGGTTTTAATAACGTGCATTCATATTAGAAGTATATAAGTTGCATAATTACTCTGTGTGTCGTGTGATAGTTAAATATATCTATATCTATATATATCAAAATATGGCTAATTGTGAAATGCTAGAACTAAATAACAGGTGATTTGATATTTTGATGTAAACGTGTCTTCATAGTAGAATCTCAAGGATGGGAAATACGAACAGAGAGGTATGAAGAAAAAATTTAAGTTTTTAATTGGAAGATTAGAAAACGAAAGAATGTTTTGTAAAAAAAAATGTGTAATAGGGAATAGAAAATAAATGTTACTATCACATCTTTGCATATTATAGGGACAGGAGGGGGAAAAAAAGCTAAAATAGAGATAGAAATTAGAGGGCAACTATGGTGTATAAATATACCAATATATTCAGTGGTGAAATTCAATTTTTTACTACTACGTGTTCTGCGGGCATGGCTTGGTGGGCGTGGCAGGGGAAGGATATTGCAAAATCTCCACTCCCACCCACTCCAGCTAGAGTTGTTATTTGCCAGTTCTCCGAACTACGCAAAACTTCTGCAACTGCTTCTCCAGAACCTGCTGGATTTCACCCCTGAATATATTAAGATATATGGAAGAGTAAGAGTAAGAAGAAGGTTTAGAACTGAAGTTAAAGGATATGCCCAAATAATATGACACAATGAAAATGAAAAGTTATAATTGTGTATAATAATATGTTTATTTTTATTGAAGTGTATGTAACTGGGGTATCACACCATTCACACATCGATATATATAAATAATACCGTGTTTCCCCAAAAATAAGACCCTGTCTTATATTTTTTTTGAACCCTGAAATAAGCACTTGGCCTTACTGCCCAATACACTCAAAAGCCCAATTGGATTTATTATCAGGGGACATCTTATTTTGGGGGAAACAGGATATAAAATAAAATTAAAAAAAACTTGGATTGAAGAAAAACAAATTGAAGCAGATGTTCTGAGAAGTATTAATTTCGAGGGTGTTTTCGGTGGTTTTGCGAAAATAAAATGTAGAAAAAAATGCCTTCCAAGTCAAGACAATTGGAATTTTGATGCATTAAACTTGTGAAATATTAAAATGGATGTTGTATTGCATTTTTTTGTCAAACTTTTAGGTAGCCTAAACTTGGCTTGGTGGTGGTGGTGATGGGGTAATATGACTGATGAGCGTGGCCAACTTTTTTTTTTTTTTTAACTTTTAAAACCATTTTTTCTACAACCTCATCGGCTGAAGAGGTTGTAAAAAAAATGCTTTTAAAGCCTCTGACCATCCCAGCTGACTTGCCTGATCGGCAGAGGTTTTTTTTTCCTTTTAAAAACATTTTTTTCTATAACCTCTTCGACGGAAGAGGTTGTAGAAAAAATGCTTTTAAAAGCCTCTGACGATCCCAGCTGAGCCGCGCGATCATCAGAGGCTTTTTTTTTTTTTTTTACATTTATAAGCATTTTTTCGGCCAAAGAGGTTGTAAAAAAATGCTTTTAAAAATTAAAAAAAAAAAGCCTTTGATGATTGCGCGGCTCAGCTGGACAATGGGGGGAGGGCAGGGATTTTTGCTACCGGTTCTCCGAACCACCCGCCTCCATCGCTACCCGGATCGGGCGATCCGGTCCGAACCGGGAGCATTTCACCCCTGCACCAGTGAGCCTTAATCCGCCACTGAACCCATACCCTAGAGAGGAAATGGCACCCTTTGGACGCCAGGAGGGCCCTCCACATCTATATCAAGAGGACAGCTTCCTTTCGGAGATCGGAGTCCCTGTTTGTGTCGTGCCAACCTTCCAAGTTGGGTAATAAAGTCACAGCATTAACAATAGGCCGGTGGGTACGACGTGCATCGCCAAATCATATTCCGTTGCTCCGTCGAGTGACACCCTATTCCACTAGAAGTGCGGCCACTACAGGCCTCCATTGAGGAGATATGCAGAGTAGTGACATGGTCTTCCCCATCCCCGTTTTTACGACCTCATAACTGTATGCCTTCGCTTCCGCTGATTCGCTTAACGACTGCGTGATTCCTTTTAACAACTTTAGTTTATCGATCAGCCCATAGGCCGTATCGAAATACACAGGGTTCCAAAAAAATCATTACTAAAATCCTATTAAAAACAACGTAAAATGGAATTGGGAGTAAAATGCAATTTAAAATGAAATTGGAATAAAACACAATAATTTACTATGGAGAGAAATGAAGATCAAATGGAGCGGTGCGACAGCCTAAAGGGGAAGCTCTCGCCTCACAAATCAGGAGGCTGTGAGTTCGATCCTAGGTAGAGGCAGATATTTTTCTGTCTGGGCACAATGAGGATATACCTGCTGAACTAAACTCCGTAGTGGCGACAGGAAGGGCATCCGGCCAGTAAAAAAAACTCAGCTCCATCCAGTTGCCCAGACTCCACCCTGCAAGGCATTATGGGGTTATTAAAAGAAGATGACAAATGAACTGTTGTAAGTTGAGGACTATCTGTAAAATCCACAGAAGAGAGGAGGTGAAAACGTGAGCTGTGTTTCCGGAAAGGACAATCGTGAAGACAGATTGTCATTGTTTGTTCTGTATCCTGTTTGTTTCCCGTTTCGGAATTTCCATCCGGCATGTCTACTAAAGAGAAGCTAGTTTTCATAAATGATCTGCGTTTCCCTCCCACTCTCTTTTTTAAAAAACCACACAGAAAGTCCTCCACTTAGGACCGCAATTGAGCCCAGCATTTATGTCGCTAAACGAGACATTTGCGACGGGAGTTTGGCCCCCATTTTTACGGCCCTTCCTTGCCACAGTTGTTCAGGTAAATCACTGACGTTGCTCAGTTAGTAACTCGGCTGCTGGCTTCTCCATTGACTTGGTCGCGAAAGGGGATCACCCAATCCCCAGGAGGTTGCAACCGTCGGAAGTATGAGACCGTTGCTAAGCATCTGAATTTTCACCCCATGAACCATGGGGATGCTGCCAACGGTCGTTAAGTGTGAAAAACGGGCGTCACGAGTTAACTGGTTTTTTTTTTCCCCAGTGACGACGTAACTTCGAACGGTCCCTAAGTTTAGCAAAAGAAATGTTGGGGTCGTAGGTCGAGGACTTACCTTTTATAGCTGCCACAGATTTTTTTTTTTTGTAGCGCAGGTCGAGTTTGGTCTCTGGTAGAAATGTTGATGTTTACTTAACCTATTCAAATAAAATTCGTTTTTACAGCCGCCGTCTCAATCTCCTATGTATAGTGCCAGTGCCTCGGTGCCCAGAGAGTGTGCCATCTCTCCTTCGCGTGCCAACGACGAGGAACACGTCTATAGGTATTCTATTCCCCCCCTTTTATTAGAATAACAGAGTCAGAAAGGACCTCAGAGGTCATCTAGTCCAACCCCCTGCTTAAGTAGGATGCCCTACACCAGTGTTTCTCAACCTTGGAAGCTTGAAGATGTGGTGGACTTCAACTCCCAGAATCCCCCATCTTCAGCAGCGCTGGCTGGGGGATTCTGGAGTTGAAGTCGACCCTACTTCAAGCTTCCAAGGTTGAGAAACACTGCTTACACCCTTCCGTGGACAAATGGTTTGTCCAATCTCTTAAAAGCCTCCAGGGATGGAGCATCCACAACTTCTGGTGGCAAGCTGTTCCGCTGGTTAATGGTTCTCACTCCTGGGAAATTTCTTTTTATTTCTGGGTTAAATCTCTCCTTGATCAGTTTCCATCCCTTGTTTCTTGTATTATCTAGCTTTTTCAGCCCCTGGGGTCAGGATGGGGTGGGAAGGGAGGAAAGGTGGAAGAAGGAAGGAAGGATGGGTGCAGGAGGGAGGAAGGAAGAAAAGGTGGAGGAAGGAAGGAGGGAGGGAGGGAGAAGGAAGGAAGGAGAGAGAAGAAGGGTGGAGGGAGGGAAGAAGGGAAGAAGAGTGGAAGAAGGAAGGAAGGGTGGAAGAAAGGAGGGAAGAAGGGTGGAGGGAGGGAGGAAGGAAGGAAAGGTGGAAGGAAGGAAGGAAGGAATGGTGAGAAGAAGGAAGGAAGGGTGGTTGGAGGGAGGGAGGGAGGAAAAAAAGGTGGAGGAAGGAAGGAAGGAGGGAGAAGGGTGGAAGGAAGGAGGGAAGAAGGGTGGAGGGAGAAGGAAAGAAGGGTGGAAGAAGGAAGGGTGGAAGGAAGGAGGGAAGAAGGGTGGAGGGGAGGGAGGAAGGAAGGAAAGGTGGAAGAAGGAAGGAAGGAGGGAGGATGGAAGGAAGGTAGAAAGGGAGGGAAGGAAGGGAGGGAGGGAACTGGTTCGATCAGTGCGCTGGTCACTTCCAAATAACAGGCTCTTTATCCCCTGAACCTCAGTTTCCCCAACAAGCAGAAGTCTGCAGAACCATCTCCTACCCTGATGAGCTCCTCCTTAGGCAATAACTTGTCCGAACTGGATCGGCTCCTCCTGGAATTGAACGCTGTGCAGCACAACCCCTCACCTGGCAGCCCCACAGGTACGAGGGGCTGGGCTCTAGGGTTAGGATCACGCGATTGGGAGAGGGGGCAACGACTAGCACATATGTGCCAGGGGAACCTTTACCTTTACCTTTAACCCCATTCAGACTCGCAAGGTGCGGCTAACCTTATAACCTTATAATATAAGCAGCCTTCACTTGTGCTGCTTTGGGTTCCCTATTCGGATCTACTCAGAGTCCGGAACTACTCAGAGGTCTTGACGCCCACGTCTGACGCCTGTCCGTTATGCACCCGTTGCCACAACGGAAATGCACTTCCTGGGTTTGTGGCATGTCTCTTGCAGCTGCTAGAAGCTGCCCAGGAGAAGGGAAGGGAGGGCAAGGAATAGAAAAGTGGGCCCCGAAAAATTGGAGCGGGATAGCTTTGCTTTGGTTAGGAAGAACAACGGCAGAAGAACGGAAGGGACCTTGGGAGGTCTTCTAGTCCAACCCCGTGCTTGAGCAAGGGGACCCTGTGCCATTCCAGACAAATGGTTGTCTAATCTCTTCTTGAAAAGCTCCAGTGATGGAGCATTCACAATGCCCAGAATTCCTTGGGCAGGTTGGTTTAAGATGAGTGGACTTCAACTCCCAGAATTCCCTGGGCAGGATGGGTGGATTTTAATGCCCAGAATTCCCTGGCCATGATGTTTTAAGATGAGTGGACTTCAACTCCCAGAATTCCCTGGCCAGGTTGGTTTAAAATGAGTGTACTTCAACTCCCAGAATTCCTGGGCAGGATGGGTGGATTTTAATGCCCAGAATTCCCTGGCCATGATGTTTTAAGATGAGTGGACTTCAACTCCCAGAATTCCCTGGCCAGGTTGGTTTAAAATGAGTGTACTTCAACTCCCAGAATTCCCTGGGCAGGTTGGTTTAAGATGAGTGGACTTCAACTCCCAGAATTCCCTGGGCAGGATGGGTGGATTTTAATGCCCAGAATTCCCTGGCCACGATGCTTTAAGATGAGTGGACTTCAACATCCAGAATTCCCTGGCCAGGTTGGTTTAAGATGAGTGGACTTCAACTCCCAGAATTCCCTGGCCAGGTTGGTTTAAGATGAGTGGACTTCAATTCCCAGAATTCCCTGGGCAGGATGGGTGGATTTTAATGCCCAGAATTCCCTGGCCATGATGCTTTAAGATGAGTGGACTTCAACTCCCAGAATTCCCTGGCCAGGTTGGTTTAAGATGAGTGGACTTCAACTCCCAGAATTCCCTGGGCAGGGGATGCTTTCATATGAATGGACTTCAATGCCCAGAATTCCCCAGTCAGCATGTTTTAAGATGGATGGACTTCAACTCCCAGAGTTCCCGAAGGGATGGTTTTAAGTTAATTGTTCTCACAGTCACCAAACAGAATAGCAGTGTTGGAAGGGACCTTGGAGGTCTTCTAGTCCAACCCCCCCCCTGCTTACGTAGGAGACCCTGTGCCATTTCAGACAAATGGCTGTCCAGCCTCTTCTTGGAAACCTCCAGGGATGGAGCATCGAAACTGTCCCACGGATGAGTTGTTCATTAGAAGGCCACCGGTTTTTTAAAATATATATATATTTCCGCCTTTTTAATGGGAAACGTGCTTCCAAGTCCTGTCTGTATTTATTTTATTTATTTTTTTGACTTGTAAGATGAGAACGCAGGAGGAAGCCCCTCGCGGCCTGGTGGGACCGGCTCCCCCTACAGCCTCCTGGAGAACACTACCTCTTTGGCCGCACAGCCCGCAGCCCCAGGGAAAGAGAAGCCCAAGTGGAATGGGGGGCCGGGGGTGGAAGAAGTGTGCCCCAGCGTGGAGAGCCTTCTGGATGAACTGGAAAGCTCGGTGCCTAGTCCTGTGTGAGTATAGCCCCCTGATTACTATCCATCCGGCTAAGGTGTGACGGTTTCTGGAGAGAGAGGGGAATTCGTGGTGCCTCCCATTAGGACGGTGCTTCTCAACCTTGGCCAACTCTAAAATGGGGGGATTTCAACTCCCAGAATTCCCCAGTCAGCATGTTTTAAGATGGATGGACTTCAGCTCCCAGAATTCCCTGTCCACGATGGTTTAAGATGGGTGAACTTCAACTCCCAGAATTCCCCGGGCAGGATAGTTTAAGATGGGTGGATTTCAACTCCCAGAATTCCCCAGTCAGCATGTTTTAAGATGGATGGACTTCAGCTCCCAGAATTCCCTGTCCACGATGGTTTAATATGGGCGAACTTCAATTCCCAGAATTCCCCAGCCAGAATGGTTTAAGATGGGTGGATTTCAACTCCCAGAATTCCCTGGGCAGGATGATTTAAGATGGGCGAACTTCAATTCCCAGAATTCCCTGGACAGGATGGTTTAAGATGGGTGAACTTCAACTCCCAGAATTCCCCAGTCAGCATGTTTTAAGATGGACGGATTTCAGCTCCCAGAATTCCCTGTCCACGATGGTTTAAGATGGGCGAACTTCAATTCCCAGAATTCCCCAGCCAGAATGGTTTAAGATGGGTGGATTTCAACTCCCAGAATTCCCTGGGCAGGATGATTTAAGATGGGCGAACTTCAACTCCCAGAATTCCCTGGACAGGATGGTTTAAGATGGGGGGATTTTTTAATTAATGGGGCCAAATTTATATATGTATATTTAACTGTATTTTAATATTGGTATTTGATGTTTTTACTTGGCTGTTCACCGCCCTGAGTCCTCAGGGAGAAGGGCGGTATACAAATTCAAAATAAAATAAAAATAAAATAAAAATAAACTCCCAGAATTCCCCAGTCAGCATGTTTTAAGATGGATGGACTTCAGCTCCCAGAATTCCCTGTCCACGATGGTTTAAGATGGGTGAACTTCAATTCCCAGAATTCCCCAGCCAGAATGGTTTAAGATGGGTGAACTTCAACTCCCAGAATTCCCTGGGTAGGATAGTTTAAGATGGATGGACTTCAGCTCCCAGAATTCCCTGTCCACGATGATTTAAGATGGGTGAACTTCAATTCCCAGAATTCCCCAGCCAGAATGGTTTAAGATGGGTGGATTTCAACTCCCAGAATTCCCTGGGCAGGATGATTTAAGATGGGTGGACTTCAGTGCCCAGAATTCTCTGGCCAGGATGGGTGAACTTCAACTCCCAGAATTCCCCAGCCAACAAGTTTTAAGATGGATGGATTTCAACTTCAACGTCCAGAATTCCCCAGCCAGTATGTTTTAAGATTCATGGACTTCAACTCCCAGAATTCTCTGGCCAGGATGTTTTAAGATGCATGGACATCATCTCCCAGAATTCTTCAGTCAGCATATTTTCAGATATGTGGACTTCGACTCCCAGAATTCCCTGGCCAGCATGCTTTAAGATGCGGTGGACTCCCAACTCCCAGAGTTTCCAAAGGAATGGCTTTAAGTGGAGAACGACCTATAATCTAATTAACGTAGTTCATAGAGTTTGTGCATAAATAACACATTTCCTTTTAATTTTTAAATATTTTTAATGACCTTGTGAGGGGGGTGGCCCATGGGCTGTGAGTTGTTGTTGTTGTTGTTGTTGTTGTTATTATTATTATTATTATAATTATAATTATAATTATTATTAATTTGATTTATATACAGCCCTACTCCCGAAGGACTCAGGGCGGTGAACAGCCAAACAGTAAAAATACATAAATACAAAATTTAAAAAACAAAGTAAAATCGAATTAAACAATTTGGCCCGGACAAATTAAAACACCCCAATCATTTAAAAACCGATTAAAATTTGCATAATTAAAAAGAGGGAAAAGATTAGGCCAAGCCCGCCCAGTGGAATAAAAAGGTCTTAAGAGCGCAGCGGAAGGTGCGCAGATCCGTCATCCTCCGTATCTCCGGGGGGAGCTCGTTCCAGATGGTAGGTGCCCCCACAGAGAAGGCTCTCCCCCTGGGGGCCGCCAGTCGACATTGTTTGGCCGACGGCACCCGGAGGAGCCCCTCTCTATGGGAGCGTACCAGCCGGTGGGAGGCTATTGGTGGTAGTAGGCGGTCCCGTAAGTAACCAGTTGGACATGCCTGCTGTCTAGGCCAGGGGTCTGCAACCTTAAACACTCAAAGAGCCATTTGGACCCGTTTCCCCACAGAAAAGAAAACACCGGGAGCCACAAAAACTCTTCCCGTGCCTGACGATTTCTTGAGCGGCCACAAAAACTAGCATATGTAGTCGAATTAAACCTTCCGTTTTCTTCTGAAACTTTTCTTTTCTTGGATTTATCTTGGCCTACCGGGGGTTGAAAAGCTCAATAAATTGTGTGCCGGTGGGTGTCGCACATTGGGGGTTGTGACGCATATTTTGGGTGACAGGGAGCCGCAGCAGAGGGGTGAAAGAGCCACATGCGGCTCCAGAGCCGCAGGTTGCTGACCCGTGCTTTAGCCTAAGGCCACAGGGGAGGCTGGGAAGGGAGGCAGGGAAGGGGGGGGGTCTTTGTTCCTGGAAGCAAACCTCAAGAGCCTTGGTAGTACAGTGGTCTAAAGCACCCTGTTATTAAGACCAGCTGTCTGCAATTACTGTAAGTTCGAATCTCACCAGGCTCAAGGTTGACTCAGCCTTCCATCCTTTCTAAGGTGGGTAAATTGAGGACCCAGTTTGTGGGGGCAATAAGCTGACTTTGTATAAATATACAAAAGGATGAAGGCTATTGCTTAACGCATTGTAAGCCGCCCTGAGTCTCCGGAGAAGGGCGGCATATAAATCAAATTTAAAAAATAAAAAATGACCGTTTCTGTCTTGTTTGCCTCCATTAGACCAGCTATTACTGTGAATCAAGGAGGGATGAGCAGTCCTCAGCGTTTCGCCTCCAGCCAGCAACAGACCCGCATATCTGCCTCTTCAGCAACCAGAGAGCTGGATGAGCTCATGGCTTCCCTTTCAGACTTCAAGGTGCCCCCTCCTTGTTATCATTTGTCCCCCCCCCACCGCCCACCTACCTTCCTTTCTGGCCTAGGGATGATGGTGTTGGCACATCTTCAACCACAGGAATTATTAGTCCCTTTATGTCCATTTTCCTGGGTCTCCTTTTGCCTTTTAACTATTTCATTTTATTTATTTTATTGAATTTTTATACCCAGGAATTATTAGTCCTTTTATGTCCATTTTCCTGGGTCTCCTTTTGCCTTTTAACTATTTCATTTTATTTATTTTATTGAATTTTTATACCCAGGAATTATTAGTCCTTTATGTCCATTTTCCTGGGTCTCCTTTTGCCTTTTAACTATTTTATTTTATTTATTTTATTGAATTTTTATACCCAGGAATTATTAGTCCTTTTGTGTCCATTTTCCTGGGTCTCCTTTTGCCTTTTAACTATTTCATTTTATTTATTTTATTGAATTTTTATACCCAGGAATTATTAGTCCTTTTATGTCCATTTTCCTGGGTCTCCTTTTGCCTTTTAACTATTTCATTTTATTTATTTTATTGAATTTTTACACCCAGGAATTATTAGTCCTTTTATGTCCATTTTCCTGGGTCTCCTTTTGCCTTTTAACTGTTTCATTTTATTTATTTTATTGAATTTTTACACCCAGGAATTATTAGTCCTTTTATGTCCATTTTCCTGGGTCTCCTTTTGCCTTTTAACTATTTCATTTTATTTATTTTATTGAATTTTTATACCCAGGAATTATTAGTCCTTTTATGTCCATTTTCCTGGGTCTCCTTTTGCCTTTTAACTATTTTATTTTATTTATTTTATTGAATTTTTATACCGCCCTTCTCCCGAAGGACTCAGGGTGGTGTACAGCCAAAAATAAAAACCACAACTACATGAAAGTTAAAAGACAATTTAAAAATATTAAATAGTTTGGCCGAAAGAGCTAAAATAGAAAACCACCCATTAAAATAGCATTTAGGCCAGCCCTGCTTGGTGAAACGATAGCGTTTTGAGGGCGCGGCGAGAGGTGCGAAGGTCAGGGATCCAGAGGAATCTCCGGGGGGAGCTCGTTCCAGAGGGCAGGTGCCCCCACAGAGAAGGCTCTCCCCCTGGGGGTCACCAGTCGACATTGTTTGACTGACGGCATCCTGAGGAGTCCCTCTCTGTGGGAGCGTATTGGTCGATGGGAGGCTATCGGTGGCAGAACTAACTCAAGTGAGTTCAATGCAGGGCCCTTTCTATTTTTCTGTCGCTATTTTGCCTTTTTTTTTTTTTTTTCTTTTTTTTTTTTCCTTCTTCCCTCACTCCTTTTTCCCTTTTTTTCTCCCCTCTTCCTTCCCCCCCCCCCACTCTCTCTCCTCCCTTCCTTCTTCCCGCCTTCCTTTCTCTTTCAGACCAGTTCCACCATATCTCTGTCCTCTGAGCCTTCCCTACCGCTGTCTTCTGGACCACCTGTCCCATCCCATACGGTGCCACCACCACGTGCCTCAAAGCCCCACAGGGCAAAACACGATGGGCCTCACCCCAGTTCCGAGGCCCCTCTTGAGTTGGAGGTCCTACACATTGATGAGAAAAGCAGTGGTTTAGCGGTAGCCGCGATCCCAGAACTTCCTTCCAATGTTTTGCATCGTCACCCCGCCGGACCTTGGACCAAGCCCCCCCTTGGTAAAGCTTCTGCCCCCCGCCCAAGCTCCGATGGACCCAGCAAAACCCCTCCTGAGAAGTCACACGTCTCTTCTTCAGAGCCCGAGTTGTTATGGATTGGTGCGGATGGTGCGGGAACTCAAAAAAACATGGAGCCAGGAGGACCTTGGAAGGAGGAGAACCTCAACGGCGAAGACATTCCTTCAGTTCTGAGCAGGGGTTCGAAGAGGCCAGCCCCCCAAGAAGAGAAGGCTCTCTTCCACCCCAAAGCTCCTTTTTTCAAGGAGAACGGAATGAGGACAGTGGGTTACACCAGGCAGAGCAATTCAGAAACGTCTCTGTTGGTGCCGAGAACGTCCCTCAAGAAGGACGTTCACGTCGGTCCCCCCGATCTTTTTAATGTAGAACGGTGGGAGAGTTTTCCAGGCTGGGCTGTCCAGCAGGCCTCGAACCACAGGCCCGAAATCCGAGATCCGGTGAGGGCAAACAGCTGTCCTGATGTGGCCGAGAGGGGATCCAGAAAGAACAGCCTTCCCAACGGTGTCGCGGCTGCGTCGAAGGCCGCCGAACGTATCCGGGAAGAAGAACGGGACCGTAGTATCGCTGATCCTACAATCTCCGTGGAGAGAATATCCACTTCGAGCCAGGCAGGCATCCGGATGAATGGGGAAGAGATGAGCCAGCTGGTGACACGAGGGAGGGGATGTCTCCGTGCTGCTTCTGCTTTGGCCTGTGCATGAAACGCGCTTTGGAGTTTGTGCCTGGATTTAGCGAGGTTTGCATGCTTCTCCTAGATCTGCGGTCACCAACTGGTGGTACGTGGACTACTGGTGGTCCGTGAGAAAATTTTGGTGGTCCACAAAAAAAATTATTTGCATTTTTTATATTGCACTTAAATCAGGGGTCCTCAAACTGCGGTCCCCGGGACAGATACCTGCAATGAACGTTTGTGTTGCTGCAGAGAGTCTCCCCCTTCAGGGTTTTTTTGTGTGTGTTGGAGGGGGGCAGAAATTCAGACTTGGGGTCTGCTTCAGCCTCCTGGTGTGGGGCTTTGGGTGAAGGCTGGAGGGAAGTGCCGCTGGTGGCGAAGAGCCGGAGGGCCTTGTTCCAGTGGGACTGCATCATGGCCTGGAATTGGCTGACCATCTCAGCCGGCTGAGCCTCCAGGAGCCGGTACCTGGCCTTGCACTCCCGCAGGACTTCCCTCTGCTTGGAAAGCCTATGCTCCTAGTCCTCAGTGAGGTGCTTCTGCTGAGCCTCCTTCTCGGCCAGTTTCAATTTGAACTGAGCTGTTTTGCCAACTCTTTCTCGTGGTGCCTGCTTAGCTCCAACAACTGTTTACTGATGGGGCCCTAAAGAGCTCAGGTGGGCAGGCGAGGAGTGGCTGGCAGGGGAGGGTGTGTGTAGAGGCCGGTGAGGCGCCCCTCGACATGAGTGACAGCGAGTTGGCCACGCTCACCCAATCACATGACCACCTAGCCACGCCCACCCAACCAGACATTAGGCAAATCATATTAGTGGTCCGCGGGATTTAAAATTATGAATGTAGTGGTCCCTGAGGTCCGAAAGGTTGGTGACCCCTGCTCTATATCAGGGATGGCAAACCTTTTTGGCACCAAGTGCTGAAAAGGGAGCACTTTGCGCTTGTCTGGGCCGTAACCAGGAAGAGGAGCTGCGCACAGCGAATAAGGTACTTCCGGTTTCTGGCATATACATGTGCGCTGGCAAGCAAGTCTTCTGGTTGCTGTTGCGCATGTGTGCGTGCCAGTCAGGTGACCGGCACGCAGGCTCACGCCGGAAACCGGAAGACCAGCCCTTCCGGTTTCCAGCACTGCCGCACTCACAAAAGCTAGCTGATTGTCGTGTGCCCATGCGCGCCAGAAACCCAGAAGAGGAACAGTTGGCGCCGCATATGCCAGGCAACATGGCTCCCCGTGCCACTTCGGGCACGTGTGCCATAGGTTCGCCATCACGGTCCTAGACGGACGCAACCAGCCTCTGGTGTAGGACGGTGATTTGGCCAAGTGCTGCTCTTAATGTGTTTTGGGTTTTTGCTGGGCTCTCTGCTGAGTAGAGGAATGGCGAGAAATGGGACAACCTTAAGATGATAAGGATTGGGCTCGCCTGCAGATAGGAATCACCTTCTGCACTCCAGGGTTTCTGAACTGCTTTGAGATACAGGTAGGGTTGAAAGGAGCTGAATCTTCCATGTTTCGTAAAGGAGGAGATCTGTAGATCAGGCCGGAGATGAGGGGTCCTTGGTGCTCTCTGAGCTTGCTTGTTTTCTTGCAAATGTTTTATTACCAAACTAGGTAAGATCATCAGTGCTAGAAGAGGTTGCAGACATGAGGAGGGGTTGCAGACGTTTTATTACCAACCTAGGTAACATCATCAGTGCTAGAAGGGAATGTGGGTTGCAGAATGGAGGAGAAGGAAAGAGAAAGAGGAGGAAGAGGAGAAGAAGGAAAAAGAGGAGAAGGAGGATCGTTGGGTCCTTGGTGCTCTCTGAGCTTGCTTGTTTTCTTGCGGACGTTTCATTACCAAGCTAGTTAACAACATCAATGCTGCATGTGGTTGCAGTTGGACAGCTTTTCCTAAGATGAATCGGCTGCTTATGGCTGTGCTGAAAGGACCTTTCCTCCAGTTGAGGAAGGGGTCATTTCTGCTTTTCCCAGCTTGTGACCACTAACCCCGGTCAACCTCAAGACTGTGCATTCTATGCCGTCTGGTTGAAGGGTTGGGGGGAGCTTACTCAACCTGAACGTTTTCCTCCCCTTCCTTAAAAGATCAAGTCCGTGATCAGGAAAACCAAAGAGATCTCCAATGTGCATCCCATGTGCCGCGATCTGTCGCCGCGACGCAAGCTGGGCCCGGTCCTCTTCCATAAAACCGTCTCCCAAGACCGCCTGATCGAAGAGCTTCAAGACAGGCTGGGCATCAGCAAAGCCGAAGACGAAGAACGTCAACGGAGTCCCGACGACTGGTTGACCGAGGGGGTCATCATCACCTCCAGGCCTCAGAAGAAGGACAAAGATGGTAGTCAACGAATAGAAAAGGTAGCCGGGAGCTCCGAAGGAGTCTTCCAGTCGGTACAAGGAAGGTAGTTTTGGGATGCTGGTTCCAGAACATCTCTGGTTCCTTCCAGAGGGAGCATTTCCATGGCCGACGGCCGATGGATCTTCTCCTCTTCTTGGTCATGCCTACAGCAGATGAAAGCAAGATCATTTCTTAAGCTTCCCCCCACCCCTTCGTGCTTTGCCCACACAAGAGCCTTGACGGCCGATTTGGAAATTAGGAATTAGCAGAGAATGGAGGTCCTTCACTTGAGGACCAAGAGAGATGAGATGAACGTTAGCAAGGCCGCTTCTGAATGGAGAGAAAATCAGATGCGTCCTTCGTTGCATGTCAAAAAAAGGGAGAGGTCCATCCCTTGCCAATTGTGGGTTTATTCTCCAGTGTATATTTGGAGAACATACTTATTCTCCAAAGCACCTGAAGATGGGAGAAGAAGCAATGGGTGGAGACTAACCAAGGAAAGAACCAACCTAGAACTAAGGAGAAATTTCATGACAGTGAGAACAATTAATCAGTGGAACGGCTTGGCCATCAGAAGTTGTAGGCGCTCCATCACTGGAGTTTTTTTAAACGAGAGATTGGACAGCCGTTTGTCTGAAATGGTTTAGGATTTCCTGCTTGAGAGGGGGTTGGGTTAGAAGACCTCTAAAGTCCCTTTCCAACTCTTCTTTATTCTGTTGTTGTTTTCTTCTGGGGGTTAATATCCTGCTGGAACCCAGAAAAGCACATTCAAAATAAAGCTTGTTTCCCTGGTTGAAGTCCTCTCAAATTGGCCATCGGTTGAGGTTCACCACACGTTGTCTTGTTGGTTGGATTTCCGTACAGTTTGGCTCATAGTCCCTACTTCTCTGGGCTGTTGTCATCTCTAATTGATTCGGGGTTTCCAACAGGGGCCAATCGTTGGTCAGTTCCTTAGAAACTGAAAGTTTCCCCCAGATTTTTCCAAGCGAGATCTTGGATCACCGTTTTCTTGGATGGAATACCTAGCACCATTAGATAGCTTTTGAAGGCTCCTCCATCCAGTCGGGGGCAGAAGGATCTCGGAAGCCTACAGAGATGCATGCTTTCCATTTCTACTTGGGAGGGGCCTCTGCTTGTTGTTGTTCAGCTTTTCACTCTTGTTGGGTTTGCGTCCTTCAGGAAGGTGAGGTACGGTACCGTTACATTTCTCCAACCTGTTGCTTTCCAAAAGGGTAGGCCTCAACTCTCAGACTCCCCCAGCCTTTGTGTCCATTGGCGAGACTTCTGGAGTTGACCTCCACCCTTTGGGAAGTGCCCGGGGAAGATTGGAGAAGGTTGACCTCCATGATCATCTCCTTTTGGTGCCTTCAAGTATTTCTGGGCGAGGTATCTTTGGCCTGTTCATGTTTCTTCCTGCTTTTTTCCCTCAGGTTATTATTCCTGCTACGTCACCCCTTCCTTTGAGAAGAACCATCTCTGTCCCACCTTCTCCTCCACCGCAGATCCTTCCTAAAGATGTCTCCAAGACCGCTTCCGTCAACGCCACTCTTGGCTCTTCTCTTCCATCTTCTCCTCCTCCGCCACCACCTCCCTTGCCCTTGCCCACATCGCCACATATCCCTCAGCTGCACTATGTGCCGTCCGTCCATCCGACTCAGCCTCCCGTCCCGTGGGAAATGCTGTTGGAAGAAATTTCCCCCCAGCATGCACCAATTCCCACGCGGCCCACCGCAGCGGCTCTTTCCTCCAAAGGCTCCGTGTCGGTTAGCTGTCAAACAGAAGAGGCTCCCTCCTTCCCACCACCACAGAAGGCACGGTCTCACTTTGATGTTCTCCTGCTTCCTGAACAACTTCACAACTCTGGCCAGAAAGGTCGCAAAACAGGGCGAAAAGTCCCTCGAGAAATGTCTCAACTTCAGCGCAGAAATTTTGGGCACCCTTACGGCCGTTAAGTCCAGGAACACCTACCGTGTCTAAATTTCTTTTTAAGTCTTATTTTCTTTTAGACTTGAAAATAAGCACTTGGGCTTATTTTTGAGGCGATCTTACTTTTTTTGGGGGGTGCAGCAGGCCAGGCTCGGTGAGCTGGATGCGCTGTGGACGCACCGTCGCCTCCATTCTGAACTTTCGGCGTTCGGCATGGAGGTTGTTTGGCGAAGGGGAGGCAAATGGGGAGGGGGAATTTTCCTGCCTGCCGTCCTTCCCTCAGTCTGTTCTGAGCTTGAGGAATAGATGACAGGCAGGAAAGTTCCCCCTCCCCATTTGCCTCCCGTTCGCCAAAAAGCTTCCCGCGAGCCTCCCAAAAAGAGGGAAAAAGCAAAGCAGATGGCCGCGGAGCTGCCAACTTCAGGGAAGCGGCCCAAGAAGCAGAAGCGCTGCGCCCAGAAAGAGAAGGGCAAAAGCGGTATTTACGCTGCCCCAAAGGGTCTGCGGGCTGTAACCAGACAGTTGCCCCCCCCACCCCGCTCATCCCCCGGGTTTATTTTCAGGGTAGGGGTAATTTTAGGCCCACCCCCCAAAAAATTAGGTAAAGGTTCCCCTCACACATATGTGAGGGAATGGGGATTTTGCAGTATCCTTCCCCTGGAGTAGGGTGGGAAGGGAGATTTTGCAGTATCCTTCCCCTGCCACGCCCACCAAGCCACACCATGCCCACCAAGCCACGCCCACATAACGTAGTAAAAAAAAAAATTGGATTTCACCACTGTGCCGTTTGAGCAGTCACTAAATGAGCTGTCGAGGACTAACTTGCATTTTAGATGCAGAATTAGATCCAGGTTTTTACACTAAGAATCCCCCCTTTCCCCCCTCCCCCTTTTTTTTAAAAAAAACATGACTTTAAATCAAAAGTTTCTTAAAATTCAACCATCCAGCCAGCTTTTTTTTTTAACGGATGCATCCTTGCTCGTCTCATTCTGAATTCTGCTTTTTCAGGTCCTTCCTATTCCATCTTTGGATCACCTCCTTGCTACTCGCCCACCTACTCCCGAGAAGGCAGGATCTTTGCTTTAATTCCTGCTTCGGCATGTTGAGTGGAAAAAAAATAAAATAAATGTCTTTGACCCCGTATGTGGATCTTGCATGCAGTTGCGAGGGGTTAGTTAGTTTGCTGGGTTTTTCCTAAGGTTTTGTTGGTCTGTTTCGTTGCGAGCTTAAAAAGAAACGGCGGTCGGCTTTTTAAACCTCGCATGATTTTGGAGGTCTTGCGGCATGATCGTCTTTGAGGCTCGCGGAGAAATTTGGGGCTGGAGAAAGGCCGAGAAGGCAACTGACATTCAGCAATGAGCTAGTAAAAATTCAAATTATATGCCGTGTGCACTTAAATTGCTAGCCACGGGTGAGAAGCGAATTCTAAATGACTCTAAAAGTTACTTATAAGCCTACAAAAGTTACTAGGAGCCCTGGTGGCGCTGTGGTGAGAACGCAGCATTGCAGGCTAATTCTGCTGAAACGCCGACCGCCAGCAGTTCGATTCTCACCGGCTCTCAAGGTTGGACACGGCCTTCCATCCTTCTGTAAAATGTCTCGCTGGAACGGCGTCCATTTCGAGCGCGACTCTGTATTCCAAACTTCGACAACGCTATTCCGAAAATAGATATATATTTTTTTTAACACTCGAATTTAAAGCGGTTCCTTTCTCTAGCCCTCTTTTTAATATTGCTGTGTGTTGTGGTTTGGATGAGTAGAACTGCCGAGGAAGGCCTCGTGGTGTGGAAGTGCTCTGAACCTCGTCCGTGCTTGCAAAATGCTTAGAGTGTGTGGGCCCTTTTCTTGAGAAAGTTCTGACACAGTTTTTTGTTTTTTTTAAAATAACCGCCCCTTCCTATGTATCCTCAAGGGTGTGACTCTTTGCTAGCTTCTGCAGTTGCATCAACCGTTCCAGGACCCGCGAATGGAAATTCCAAACAGTATTGTAACCTAGGCTTAATGAGTCATTAAGACACCCGAGTAGTCCCAAAAACCTCTTTTATTGCGACAGCTGTGAATTACGTTCATTCACAGCTGAGTCCCAATTAGTTGCAAGAAGTCCTTCGGGAGAAGTCCCTTCGGGATAATCACCAGCCTTTATCTCCCTTGACACGCTGCTAAAGACCTACTTGGCAAAGCCCCACGGAGTCCAGAATCAAACAGAGATGCCGACTGGGAACAGAATTAACAACGTTGCTTTCCTGCAAAGGGCCCACATGCCTTTGCTCCTCTTTTAAGCCTTATGGGAGGGGCCAATCATCTCCAGGCCTTACTCTGGAGTTGTCCCTTTAGCTTTAACTCTTCTTTCCTTCTGGCAGCTCTGCGCATGGGCGCACTAGGAACAGGCTCCTCCTGTTCCTCTGCCTCTCTGCTGTCCGACTCTGGAGGCTCCTGATTCCGTGCATAACTCCCAGATGGCCCTGCTCCATCTCTGCCTCCGATGCAGAGCCCTCGTCCGGGCCTTCCCCAGACTCCGGGACTGGCCCATGTTCCTCCCCAGCCTCTTCACTGTCCGATTCCGCAGGCTGCTGGCGGACCACAACAAACAGCTTGCTTTGACGTTCCAACGGATAGGAGGACGTTGAGGTTGTGGTTTTTTGTATCTGACCATTCTGTGCTTGCGTCTCTCCTTTAGTTTATGTCCCAGGGGAAAGGAGCTGGCAGCTATCCGTCCACCACCCCTCCAAAACCCGGCAGCCAGTTGGACAGCATGCTTGGAAGCCTCCAGTCTGACCTGAACAAACTCGGAGTAGCTACGGTCGCCAAAGGTGTCTGCGGAGCTTGCAAGAAGCCAATTGCCGGGCAGGTAAGCCTCAAGGAGGGAACCTCAGCTCTTAACCGTTGAGAACTAGTTTGGTGTTATGGTGAAGGGGTTGGAGGAGAAACCAGGAGTCTGTGAATTCTAGTACTGCTTTCGGCATGAAAGCTGCCTGGGTGACTTTGGGACCATCGCCAGGAGATGGTGAGTTCTAGTTCCACCTTAGGCATGAAAGCCCTCTTGGTGAGTTTAGGTCAATCACTAGGAGATGGTGAGTTCTAGTCCTGCCTTACGCGTGAAAGCTGCCTGGTTGACTTTGGGCCAATCATCAGGAGATGGTGAGTTCTAGTCCTGTCTTAGGCATGGAAGCTGGCTGGGTGACTTTGGGTCAATCACTAGGAGATGGTGAGTTCTAGTTCCACCTTAGGCATGAAAGCGCCCTTGGTGACTTTGGGTCAATCACCAGGAGATGGTGAGTTCTAGTCCCGTCTTAGGCATGGAAGCTGGCTGGGTGACTTTGGGTCAATCACCAGGAGATGGTGAGTTCTAGTCCTGCCTTAGGCATGAAAACTGGCTGGGTGACTTTGGGTCAATCACTAGGAGATGGTGAGTTCTAGTTCCAGCTTAAGCGTGAAAGGTGTCTGGTTGACTTTGGGGCAATCACCAGGAGATGGTGAGTTCTAGTTCCAGCTTAGGCATGACCAGCTACCTGGATGGCTTTGAGCCAGTCCCTCTCTCTCACGCTCAGCCCAAGCCCCCCCCATGGCGCCATTGCTGTGAAAATAGAAGGTGAAAGGATTATGTGCGCCACCTTGTGGTGGGAGGCAAGTAAACACAAATGTTAAAAAGATCAGAGAGGGCTATTAAAATCATGCAGATAAATGCAGTTATGGAAGTGCATTTCCATAGTGCACTATGGAAGAACCTAGAGAAAACTCTCTCTATGTCCTAGCAAGGGGTCCTAGCATGAGCCCCTCCAGAGCTTCTCTCTGGCCCATGAAGGACATTCCTTTTTTGGGATGATATAGACAATTCATAATTTTCTTCCCAATCCAGGCCAGGTGCTATTCCATTTCTAAGAATGTCCCAAAGGTGCATTATTATTATTATTTTTTCAAGAGGCAGCTGGACTTCCTTGGGTTTTTTTTTCTTTGAAGACGTTTCGCTTCTCGTCCCGAGAAGCTTCTTCAGTTCTCAGTTCAGGATTCTTCCAGTTAGAACTGAAGAAGCTTCTCGGAGGAGAAGCAAAACCTCTTCAAAAGAAAAACCAGTCCAGTTGCCTCTCCAAAAAGCACCTTTGGGACAATCCTGGATGATGGAGAATCTCCATAGACTGTCAGCTTTGGAAGCCCTATTTAACCCCGGAAGCTTCCACGCTGCCACCTTCAATAAATGAAAGATTTTGAGTTTTTAATTGGAGTTGGGTTGTTCTGGAACGCTGACATAGACATTTCTAAGCATTTCTTCTTCTCCTCGGCGCTGAGCTCTGCCCGGCGTGTGATGTCCAACGAGATGCCTTCAGCCGGAAGGTGGAACGTTTCCTAGAGTCAGGATTGTCCTCCTCCTTCTCCCACCCCTAGGTAGTCACAGCCATGGGGAAGACGTGGCACCCCGAGCATTTCGTTTGCACCCACTGCCAGGAGGAGATCGGCTCCCGCAACTTCTTCGAGCGCGACGGCCAGCCTTACTGCGAGAGAGATTACCACAACCTCTTTTCCCCTCGCTGTTACTACTGCAACGGTCCCATCCTGGATGTAAGTCCCTGAGATGTGACGATTTACTATGAAACTCGTTTTTGTTTTTTTTCCTAATCTGTTTCCTCTAGAGCAGGGGTCTGCAACCTTAAAACACTCCCAAGAGCCATTTGGATCTGTTTCCCACAGAAAAGAAAACACCGGGAGCCACAAAACCTACCGGGCATCGAAAAGCTCAATAAATCATGTGGGGGTGGGGAAAGGAAGGTTGTGTGGGGATAAAATGGTTGTCTAAATTTTCAATAAAATTAAAAGATAAATAAATGTATTAATAGAGAAGTAAGAAAAGCGGGGGAAATGTTATAATAAAGGAAATGATAATATTAAGATACGATAAATATTGGAGGAGCAAAAAGGTGATACAGAAGATGTATTCAGAAGATATATTGAATTTATTTATTTATTTATTTTTCAAATTTCTATACCGCCCTTCTCCTTTCGGACTCAGGGCGGTGAACAGCCAAGTAAAACACTTTATATACAAAAGTTAAAATAGATTTAAAATAATTAAATAATTTGGCCCATAACTAAAACATTGCAATTTAAAACCAATTTCAAATTTTAAAAACCCCATCATAAAATCAGGAATGATTGATTATGTATTGTTTGTTTGTTTGTTTATAAAATAAAAAAAAAGTTTTTGAATTTAAAAAAAAATAAAAAATTGTGTGCCGGGGTGTCGCACATTGGCAGTTGCGACACACGTTTTGAGTGACCAAGAGCCCCAGCAGAGGGATGAAAGAGCCACATGCGGCTCCAGAGTCCCTGGTTGCTGACCCCTGCCCTAGGATCATGTAATCATCTTCACAGGGGGCTTCGAACAAGCCAAGTCAACGGGCAAGGCCCGTTTCACTTAATGACCGTACGATTTGCTTTAAAGGCTGCCATGATTCGCGTAACGGCAGTGGGGGGGGGGAAGAAAAGTAAAAATCCGTCGCGATGATTCGCTTAGCAACCTCCTCGCTTAGCAATGGAAGCTCGGTTCCCAGTTGCGGTCGTTTAAGTCGAGGACCCACCGGAAATCCCTCAGGCTGTCGATCAGGCTGGACGAGTAAATTCCACACGTGGAATTCCACAATCTCCGAATAGTGACCAGGTTGGATGGAGAACGATGGGCTTATATTCATCGTTTGTGTGGGTTTTTTTTCCTTCGCAGAAAGTGGTGACGGCTTTGGACAGGACATGGCACCCCGAGCACTTCTTCTGCGCGCAGTGCGGAGCCTTCTTTGGCCCTGAAGGTATGGATCCTGGAAGATGGTCATCTGAGAAAATGTAGAATAGAATAGAACGGGGGGGGGGGCAACTGTGGCCCTTTTACAACCTGTGGACTTCAACTCCCAGAATTCCTGAGACAGCTCAGGAATTCTGGGAGTTGAAGTCCACAGCCAAGCTGGCTCAGGAATTGTGGGAGTTTGAAGTCCACAGCCAAGCTGGCTCAGGAATTGTGGGAGTTGAAGGCCACAGCCAAGCTGGCTCAGGAATTCTGGGAGTTGAAGTCCACAGCCAAGCTGGCTCAGGAATTCTGGGAGTTGAAGTCCACAGCCAAGCTGGCTCAGGAATTCTGGGAGTTGAAGTCCACAGCCAAGCTGGCTCAGGAATTGTGGGAGTTGAAGTCCACAGCCAAGCTGGCTCAGGAATTGTGGGAGTTGAAGGCCACAGCCAAGCTGGCTCAGGAATTCTGGGAGTTGAAGTCCACAGCCAAGCTGGCTCAGGAATTCTGGGAGTTGAAGTCCACAGCCAAGCTGGCTCAGGAATTCTGGGAGTTGAAGTCCACAGCCAAGCTGGCTCAGGAATTGTGGGAGTTGAAGTCCACAGCCAAGCTGTCTCAGGAATTGTGGGAGTTGAAGTCCACAGCAAGCTGGCTCAGGAATTCTGGGAGTTGAAGTCCACAGCCAAGCTGGGTCAGGAATTCTGGGAGTTGAAGTCCACAGGTTGTAAAAGGGCCGCAGTTGCCCACCCCTGGAATAGAATAACAAGAGTTGGAAGGGACCTTGGAGGTCTTCTAGTCCAACCCCCTGCCTAGGCGGGAAACCCTACACCACATTGTACACGTGTGTACAATGATATTCAATTTCATTGTACGCATGTTGTGCGTTGACAATAAAGGTTTGATTCAGCGGTTTGAATCCCCAGCGCCGCGTAACGGGGTGAGCTCCCGTGACTTGTCCCAGCTTCTGCCAACCTAGCAGTTCAAAAGTACTTAAAAAAATGCAGGTAGAAAAAATAGGGACCACCTTTGGTGGGAAGGGAACAGCGTTCTGTGCGCCTTTGGTGTTGAGTCATGCCGGCCACAGGACCACAGAGATGTCTTCGGACAGCGCTGGCTCTTCGGCTTTGAAACGGAGATGAGCACCGCCCCCTAGAGTCGGGAACGACAAGCACAGTTGTGCGAGGGGAACCTTTACCTTTTACCTTATATTATTCTGCTCTTTCAACCGATTAACCAGGATTCTCTTCTGTTTGCCTCCTAGGCTTCCACGAGAAAGACGGCAAAGCCTATTGCCGTAAAGATTACTTCGATATGTTCGCGCCCAAATGTGGCGGCTGTGCCCGAGCCATCTTGGAGAACTATATCTCGGCCTTGAATACTCTCTGGCACCCCGAGTGTTTCGTCTGCCGGGTAAGGGACCCCGCGATTCCTTCCATTTTCCATGGTAACATTTCCAACGTTTTTGAAGAAGACGATTTTTCCGGTTTAACGACGGAGACTAAAGTAATACAGGTAGTCCCCGACTTTGTTTAGTGACCGTTCAAAGTTACAACGGCACTGAAAAAAAGGGACTTATGGCAATGCCCATCCAGAAACCGGGCAGAGAACCCCTTGCTAAAATTTTTGAAGCCCCACCCCTGATCGTACTCCTTGTTTTCCTTGCCAGGAATGCTTCACCCCATTCATCAATGGCAGCTTCTTCGAACACGACGGGCAGCCCTACTGCGAAGTGCATTACCACGAACGCCGCGGCTCGCTCTGCTCCGGATGCCAGAAGCCCATCACGGGCCGTTGCATCACCGCCATGGCTAAGAAATTTCACCCGGAACACTTCGTCTGCGCCTTCTGTCTCAAGCAACTCAACAAGGGAACCTTCAAAGAGCAGAACGACAAGCCTTACTGCCAGAACTGCTTCCTGAAACTCTTCTGCTGAGGCTCACCTCACCATCCGTGGTGTCTCCTGCCAGGAAACCCTCGCCTTATTTTGCGGCGGGTCGTCCCGCGTCCAGCAACTTGAGCGGGTTGATGTAGGAGATGAGGAAGAAGAGGAATTGTGTGTGTGTGTGTGTGTGTTGTGTGAATGTGAATGAGATGCTCGCGGCTGCTCTGGGAAGGTGGATGATCATCCAGAGAAAAGAGGCACAAGGGACTTACGGAGGTTGGATCTACTCCAACTTCTCCTCCGTTGGAGAACAGGGGAACCAGACTTCCCTGCATTCTGAGCCAGCTTTGTTTTGGGATTTGGGGAACTCTGGTTCCATGACGTCGGCACGCTAAGATGCCAAGGTTTTGGAAGATGCCCAAGTCCGAAGAGATAGTTGAGTAGGAAGATGGGTCTTCATGACATCTGAGAGCCACGAAGGACGGTTGGGGTGGGTTTGGTGGACACGGGGTTAGTCATAAATTGAAGCAAAATTCACTTCCCGAATGTCCCACTTAGCCACACGGGGCTCAATTGCGGTCGTAAGTCGAGGACTACCTGTATTTACAACGGTTGCAGCTTCCCGGGGTCATCTGAATGCCTCTTGCAACCTTCCCAGCCGGTTTCGGGCAAGCAAATTCAAAGGGCGAAGCCGGATTCACTTAACAACTGAGTGACTCACTTAAGAGCCAGGGCAAAATAGTTGTAAAATTGGCTGCCTTGCTGGAGCAATAGAAATCCCGATCTTAATTCTCGTTGTCAGTCGAGGAGTTCTGTTATATTTTGTGGTTGCACCCGAGAGAAGGGAGAAGCGTAAAAAACCACGAATTTTGACTTTTTTCGGTTTTTTGCCTTTTTGATTCTTCTCCAGCCCGTCTCTCGTGCCTGTGTAAGATTCTCCCCAGACAGGACCTTCTGAGCAATAATTTCAAAACTTTTTATATCGACGTAACAATTTCATAAAACCTTTGATGTTCTGCTCGAGCCTTTTTTCCCCCCTTCCGGGGTATTTTTGATTGTGAGATAACACAACTTTTTTGCTATTCAGCCGAATGCTGTGTGTTTGGGTGAGGAATGTGGCGTGTTTTTTTTTTTTTTACACTGGGCTTTGAACGCATAACAAAACAAGAAAAAACAAAGCTTTTAAATCTCTTATATGGAAATTTTAGTTTTATGAACAATTTTTCGACGGATGCTTTTTATAAGTATCTGGGTTTTTTTCCCCGGGCAGGACCCTAATCTTTGTTAGTTTCCTGTCTTGATGAGCCTTGACGCTTTCTTAAAACCAACTATTAATTATATATAAATATATATATATATATAAATCCTTTTTTTAAAAATAGGGGAGGTCGGAGAACTGGAGGAATCTATTAGGAGTGTGTGTGTATATTTCCTTTCCTTTTTTTCTTTTTCCTTCTCTTTTTGCTTATTAAGTAGTTTTGTACGGATCAGGGTTCAACTGGAATGGATTTTGTAAAAACAAGCCAAGACGAGAGAAAGACTTGTTCGTCTTGCCTTCTCCTGGATTTTCAAAAGAGCCTTAAGTCAGGGGTGGGCTTCAAAAATTTTAGCAAGGGGTTCTCTGCCCCGTTGCTGGGTGGGAGTGGCCATGGTGGGCGTGGCCTAGTCAGCCTCCTGCACCACAGTGCGGGGGGGGTTGCCCTCCCCGGGCTCCGGAGGCTTTTCTTGAGCCTCCGGGAGGGTGAAAACGGCCTCCCCAGGTTCTGAAGGCCAGAAACAGGCCCGTTTCCGGCCTTCCTGAACTTCCGGTACGCCTGTTTTTCGCCCTACCTGAGCCTCCGTGCGCACCCTGCACATACCTGCATCCAAAATGGGTCGCGTGGGGACTCCTGGGAGGGGCGGGGCGGGATGGGGTGGGCGGGGCCAGCCAGGCGTGGGATTTGAGGGTTCTCCAAACTGCACAGAATCTTAGCTAGAGGTTCTCCCGAACCCCCAGCGGCTGACCCTTGCCTTAAGTTCACTTAAAAAGCACACCTATTAAGATATTTGCTTTTAAGTTCAGATGTTGCTGTTGGGATGTGGTTTGCCATGTAGATTTTACCCTTTGACAGATAGAATTTTTCATTCCTTTTTGCCTCACTGGTTCGGGGTCCCGTATGATAGAGACAAGCTACGAGGGGGGGCGGTGTCTCCTTTTAGGATCAAACTGGCGATATCCTCTCCCACCTACTGCGGAAATCGGTTGCTGCTGGGAAAAATGTCCTGCGCTGTTCCATGCAGCCGAGTCTTCAATGCATTTTTGCATGGATTCTCCGATTTTTTTTTTTTTTTTTAGGGAGAAAGGTTTTTCAAAACCTGAGAGGCGGTCGGTGGTTAAGATGCTGGGTTTGTCAGCTGCAAAAACCGGCAGCCCATGTTTGAGACCCGAGCGCCACACGACAGGGCGAGCTCCCATCCCTGCCTCTGCTCCTGTCCACCTAGCAGTACGAAAGCATGCAAGCGCGAGTAGATCAATAGGTACCACTTCGGTGGGAAGATAACAGCGCTACCGTGACGTCATGCTGGCCGCACGACGGCGGAAAGGTCTTCGGACAGCGCTGGCTTCAACGGCCTTGAAACGGGGATGAGCAGCGCCCCCTAGAGTCGGCAACGATTAGCAGAATAAAATCTGCAGGGATTTCATTACCGTTCCTTTCCTTATTATTATTTTTTTCCCTTTTGTTTCCAAAGCCTGAATTTGGGCTGAAGGTTCTTTCAAAATCCCAGCTGTTTTATTTTGCTTTCAACACGAGAATGGTTTGATCTGTTAGAACAAAAAAAAATAAAATATGTGCCTTTTCCCTCGTTTTCTGTGCTTTTCAAAGAACATTTCCCATCTTTTTGGGGTGGACTATCCTATGTTACTGTAGCTTTGGCAATAGAGGCATTTTTTTTTTGTTAAAAAATTCCTGTGCTTCACTCCCTTTAAAAAAAACAAACACAACCATAACTCTTTAAGTGCCTCAAAATGAAGTGGCTCTTGATGAAAACTTCAGCTTTTGTGCTCAGGAAGAGAAGGAGAGGTTTTCCTGTGGAATTATATATTTCTCTCCCCCCCCTCTCCATTTTCTGTATTCCTTTTTTTGCAATGTGTTCTTTTCCCCCCCAAAAGTCCCTGTGATGATGCTAAATAAAAGATTTGGAAATCAGGCTTGGGTGTCGTTTGTGGCTTAGACTGTGCTTGCGTCTGTGTGTGGGGATAAAAACGGAACGCACAAATTTATTTATTTATTTATTTATTTATTTATTGGTTCGATTTATATGCCGCCCTTCTCCGGAGACTCAGGGCGGCTTACAATGCGTTAAGCAATAAATGAGGAGGGGGGGGGGCAGAGCTGTGGTGAAATTCACTTTTTTTTTTACTACCTGTGGTGTGGTGTGGCTTGGTGGGTGTGGCAGGGGAAGGATTCTGCAAAATCTCCATTCCCACCCCACTCCTGGGGGAAAGATATTGCAAAGTCTCCATTCCCACCACACTCCAGGAGGAAAGAATACTGCAAAATCTCCATTCCCACCCCACTCCTGGGGGAAACATTACTGCAAAATCTCCATTCCCACTCCACTCCTGGGGGGCAAAATCTCCATTCCCACCCCACTCCTGGGGGAAAGGATACTGCAAAATCTCCATTCCCACTCCACTCCTGGGGGGAAGGATATTGCAAAATTTCCATTCCCACCCCACTCCTGGGGGAAAGGATATTGCAAAATCCCCATTCCCACCCTACTCCTGGGGGAAAGATATTGCAAAGTCTCCATTCCCAACCCACTCCAGGGGGAAAGGATACTGCAAAATCTCCATTCCCACCCCACTCCTGGGGGGAAGGATACTGCAAAATCTCCATTCCCACCCCACTCCTGGGGGGAAGGGATACTGCAAAATCTCCATTCCCACCCCACGCCTGGGGGGAAGGATACTGCAGAATCTCCATTCCCACCCCACTCCTGGGGGAAGGATACTGCAAATCTCCATTCCCTCCCCACTCCTGGGGGAAAGATATTGCAAAATCCCCATTCCCATCCCACTCCTGGGGGAAGGATATTGCAAAATCCCCATTCCCATCCCACTCCTGGGGGAAGGATATTGCAAAATCTCCATTCCCACCCCACTGGGGCCAGCCAGAGGTGATAAAGCTGCTAAACTCCAGATCAGCTGTAGGAGAGCTGTTAAAAAAAAAAAAAAAGGAAATTTAATTTTAATGTGTTGCCCGATTAGCCTGCATTGAAAGCGACAGTAAAAGTTATCTTAAAGTCCTTTAAAAAAAAAAAAAAAAAATCACAGAACCCTTCCTTTGAGTGACCGTCCCAACCATCCTATCAGACCCGAGGGGCGGACCTCACCTCGCGCCTCCATTTTCCTGTCTCCTCCTCTTCTTTCACGGCTCGCCCAATCCGTGGAAGGAAAAGGCGGGGCCCTCCAGAGGCCGCCCCGCTGATTGGTCGCCGCGTCCTGGGTATAAAAGGCAGCGGCGGGACTCGCGCCACTCCTTTTCTTCTCGTGGCCTCGTGAGGTAAGTCCTCGCTGCGAGGCTACGCGAGCGGCTGGCTTGCTTTGCGGCCTACCTCGGCTGGCCCTGATTTTTTTCTCCCCCCCTTCTTTCTTTTTCTCCCTTCTCCAGAGAAACGCCGCTGTCTTTAAACCGCCGCCCCGCCGTGCGATCCTTGGGACACCGCGATGCCCAGGGAAGACCGAGCCACGTGGAAGTCCAACTACTTCCTCAAGATCATCGTGAGTCTCCAGGGCGGGGGCGCTCCTGAGCATGTGCAGAGTGCCTGGCTGGGGAGTGGGGGGGGGGGCAACTGTGTCCCCGTCTCTCTCTCTTGTTAGGATCAGCCAAGGAGGAAAACCAAGAGAAAAAGACTTTTTTTTTTTTTGTAGAAATGGAATTTTATTCCATTTTCATTTTAAAATTGTATTTTATTCCAATTTCCTTTAAAATTGCTTTTATCAATTTTTTTTTTTTAGTAATAATTGGTTTCTGGAATTTTGCGCTTTGATATTAGCCCCAATCAAAGAAAGAAAAGGGGAAAAAAAGAAATAAAAAGAAATTAAATGGTATATAGATAAGAATAAGAATAAGAATAATTTTATTTCTATACTGCCTTTCTCCCGAAGGTCTCAGGGCGGTGTACAGCCTATTAAAAACAGAGATGAAATGGTATATATAAAATAAAAAATAAATACATTATCATAGATAAAATAGATAAAATAAAAATGGTATAGATAAAAAAAGTAAAACTGTCTATATATAATGAATAAAAATAAAATGGCATAGAGAAATAAAATATTAAAAAGCTGGTATAGAGAAATAAAAAATAAAATGGTGTAGATAAAGTAGGTATAAAATTTAAAAATGGTATGGATAAAAAGTAAAACTATAAAGTGAATAAAAATAAAATGGTATAGATAAATAAAATATAAGAAAGCTGGTATAGAGAAATAATAAATTTTAAAAAATGGTGTCTATACAAAATAAATTTAAAAGATAGTATATTATAAAATGGTATATACACTGCTCAAAAAAAATAAAGGGAACACAAGCAGAAGACATCTGAGATCTGAATGAATGAATGAAATAGGCTTATTAAATACTTTGTTCATTACATACAGTAGTTTTGTGTTCCCTTTAGTTGTTTGAGCAGTGTATAAACTACTGTATGTAAAGAACAAAGTATGTAATAAGGCTATTTCATTCATTCATATCGGATGTTTTCTGCTTGTGTTCCCTTTATTTTTTTGAGCAGTATATATTAAAAATAAAATTAAAATGACATATAAAATGATGAATAAATAAAATAAAGATGGCAGATTATCAAACGGTATATATAAAATAAAAACGGTATATAGAAACCAAGAAATAAAATGGTATATATAATACTAATACCAACAATAATAATGACACATTGTGGATTATTCATTAGGCCATATTGGATGCAAAGGACAAAATACAGAACTGTATTGTCACCTTACGTTAGAAGAGCGTAAAAAAAAAATCGAATAGAAGAAAATGCAAATTGTATTTTCGTGAGGCATCCCTACAATTTCCTCCTTTTTCCTGATCTGGAATAATGCCATTACACCCTTCTCCCTCCAGGAATAAAACAGATTGAAGGGATTGGAGTATGTCAATTCCCTTTGAAGTTTGCCTACTTGTTTGAATAACGATAACCCCAAATCCTCGTTTTATTCCTTCAGCAACTCCTGGACGATTATCCAAAATGTTTCATCGTGGGAGCGGACAATGTCGGCTCCAAGCAGATGCAGCAAATCCGGATGTCCCTGCGTGGGAAGGCAGTTGTCCTCATGGGGAAGAATACCATGATGCGTAAAGCCATCCGAGGCCATCTGGAAAACAACCCTGCTCTGGAAAAGTTAGTACTCCAAAGCTTCTGCGGTTCTCAAGTGTTCTAGAGCAGTGGTTCTCAACCTTTCCTTCAGGTTGAATCTTAGCTTAGAATCAAGATCAGAGGAAGTATTAGTACCGCTTTATAAAACCCTAATAAGGCCACACCTGCAACCAGTTTTGCTCACCGTACGACAAAAAAAAAGAAGTTGAGACTTTGGAAAAAGTTCAGAGAAGAGCAACTAAGATGATTAAAGGGCCTGAAGATTAAAATAGATGAAGAACGGTTTTCAGGAACTGGGTATGGCTAGTCTAGAGAAAAGAAGGACTACGGATGACATGATAGCAGTGTTCCAGTATTTGAGGGGCTGCCACAAAGGAGAGGAAGGAGGGGGGTCAATTTATTTTCCAAAGTACTTGAAGTCAAGACAAGAAGCAACAGGTGGGAACTAACCAAAGAGGCAACCTGGAATTAAGGAGAAACTTCCTAACAGTGAGGACAATTAACCACTGGAACAGCTTGCAACCAGATGTTGATTGTTCATCACTGGAGGTTTCTAAGAAGAGACTGGACAGCCACTTCTCTGATTGTTTAGGATCTTCTGCTTGAGTAGGGGGCTGGACTAGAAGACCTCCAAGGTCCCTTCCAGCTTTATTCACCATGGACCCCTTTTAAATATCTTCACGGACCCCCAAGAGTTAAGCTCAAGATATAAAGCACTAAACTGCATCAATCTCCCGGTGTGTGTGTGTGTGTCGAGGATTACAGGTAGAGAAACACTGTTTTAGAGGAATTCTTCCTTGGGTCAAACAGAATAAGATTTGGTTGTGGACAAGGCCCCATAGGATCTTAGCTTTTATTTTCTAAAATAATCACAACAAGCCAGTCCTTAACACCTGGGGGGGAAAAAAAGTTTAAAAGACAAGCTGCCAGGCTAAAAACCAGGAGACTTGATTCTAGTCCTCCCTGGGCATAAAAACCGGCTGGGTGACTTCGAGCTACCTTACAGGGTTGTGAGGAAAATAAAAGAGGAGAAGGGAGTATTAAGCATGCTTGTGGGATTTTTTTTTTAAAAAAAATCTTCATTAATTTTCTGCTCACAAAGTAGTTTTGGTCCAGACATAAACTTGACTCGTCTTGTAAGTCTTGAGTTTCAGTTCTACGAAATACGGCCAGCCCAGACCTTTTCTGTCAGCCTGTATTGACTTTACCTGAATGAATCACGACATCTTAGTTGCAAAACGAGAATTTCGCAACAGACCTGCCTTCCTTTTGACTTCTGGTCCTCTAGCCGAATGAGGTTGCCTTTCCCGAGCTAGTTAAATCCCTCCAAAATTAGCTTTTTCTATTCCGCAAGTGGTTAGCACACATTATTCTTTTTTAAAGTTGCTCGGTTGGAATGATGACAAATAACGCTGGCTGTGTTTTTAGGCTGCTGCCTCACATCCGTGGGAACGTGGGCTTTGTGTTCACCAAGGAGGATCTGACCGAAATCAGGGATATGCTGTTGGCCAACAAGGTAAATGGAAGCTGGGGATAGAAATGGTTCAAGCTGTCAAAGGGTTTCAAGGAACACCCCCAACGAAAGAAGACTCCGAATCTTGAAGTTCCTCAAAGTTCCATTTTATTAAGAGATGTCATATTGGCACATCTGGGAAAACCTGAATCTGAAAGCTTCCAGGTTTTCCCACCCAAAGGAAAGTCCAAGTCTCTGTCAATCACCCACATGTCCATCAAATGGTCCAATCCAAGCACCGTCCCAACTGGAGATGCCTCCCAGTCACACCCCTCCAGGTGCAGGGCAAGA